ACTACTGATAAGTTGCATACTAGAATGAACTGAGCATTCAGTGCCTCCAGATTTCAGATGGTGGTGATCTTACTATTAATCGGTTTTTAATCTCAAATGAGCTTGACCAATCGTCATAAACCCGTACTGAATTCATTTGGATTATTCCTCATACGCTAGTTAGACGAAGTAGTATTTTTAAGTGAAGGATTTTGTAAACACGTACGATTAGTTCACGTTTAATTATATAATCGACAAAATGAGTTTCCAGTAATTTATGACAGGGAGATACCATACACCAGAGTTGATCAAAAGTAGTCTAATTTGCCTGCTACTAATTTCTCAGTGAACAATTTGGATGAGGTAGATCTAAGTTGAAGAATCACTTGGTAAGGTCATGAATGCGTGCAGCTAATGAGTCTCATACTAGTCTATGGAAATAATTCCATTCTAGCTTAGAATCATCTTCACGAATAAATGATCAAAAGTTTGATAATTGCTAGTTAAGAAAGTTTTGTTTATCTTATGTGTTTACTATATACATACAAATGTTTCAATGCTTAAACTGAATGTATATTGTGTTACTCAGCAATAATAATAAACTAAGCTTAACTGATCTTGCTACCACAGTGGGAAAAAAAAGAAGCTTAATTGTTACAGTCATTCAATCTTCCAATGTTCAATAAACAATAACCGTTTGAAATTATAACAAATGAACAATGAAATAATAAGATGAATGGAGCGTATATTAATTTAAACCGTTTTTGTTATTCTAATTAAAATAAAAATATTAATGAGGTTAAATTTTTAAAAAAAATATAAGTTGAAACATTTGCCCGTAAAATATTTTTAAATATGAACGAAATGAAATGAAAATAACAGTAATAATTATATTAATTTAAGGGCACTCTAAAGACAATGAGAAGACGTGACTAGTGCAGTTCAGACTTGTCGAGTGTAGGTAATAAGTGTCGATGACAATAGATGAGGTTGCGCAAAACCTCCTTAGATTGATTAGAGGTATAAATAAACATTGTTGGATGCTGGTTCAGTAGTTCAGAGGTTAGGTCCTGGGTTTGAACCCTGCAAGTAGCAGGAGTCGTGGATGTTGAGAGAGTGGAGAAAACTTGTAGCTCAGGTGGATGATTGTGGTGGTGTTTTGTTCTCTGAGCTGGATGTTTTGGTTGTGGAGCTTTCATTGTTCTTCTGAACAACATCATCAGCACAAACTTCAGATAGAAGTGAAGCATTCGAATTTCTCCACGTTTGACCTGTAGCTTGTTCTGCTAACCTCACTCTTGTTTGGTTGCTGTTGACCTTTGACCTGTCGTTGTTTGTAACTATGTTTAGATTGCCTCCCCATTTGATCTGTTTCTTGATCTAGTGTCACCTATGATTTTCCTGATTGGTTGATAAATTGGGTCAATGTCGATGTGTTTGTTGATTGCTAATTGACCTGAGTGCCAAGCTTCTAAAAATTCTCTAGTATTCTTTGTCCTCTCCCTACCCAGTATTTCCACATTGTTCCAATCAAATGTGTGTCCATAATCCACGTCGAAGGATATCATCATTTCGTCGTTGTCGATTTGAATCCCCTTGGGTTTATTCGAGAATTGTGTGGGAGACTTAATGGAGTAGTTGGATTCATCCACCAGATGTTTTAATATCCTTGAAATTTCTCTTGATAAGTTATAGGTCGGGGTTCCGGGGAGGGATACATCCCACTACGTCTTATTGTATCCCTCCCCGGAACCCCGACCTATAACTTATCAAGAGAAATTTCAAGGATATTAAAACATCTGGTGGATGAATCCAACTACTCCATTAAGTCTCCCACACAATTCTCGAATAAACCCAAGGGGATTCAAATCGACAACGACGAAATGATGATATCCTTCGACGTAACAGCCTTATTTACCTCAATAGAGCCAAGCTTAGCTAAAGAAACTGTTTCTGTGCTCCTCAGCAACTACACAAATCTACACAAATATACAAAGTTTCAGAGTCAAAGTTTGCTTGAACTCATCGACCTATGCTTAACAACGTATCTTCAGTTCAACAACAGAGTCTACGAACAAATAAAAGGAACACCAATGGAGCATACGGCACGACTACTGAAACCATTTGGAATAGGTGTGGCGCACAAACCGACAGAATCAGTTTAGTTACCCCCCAATGGAACATAGGCCGCCCACCAGTTTTATCCAACCAAATCTGTCCTGAGCTTCCCTTTCCAAGTCTGTCCAATTTTTGTTCATTCCTCTAATATCTTTCTCTATTTCTCGGCCTAATCTGTTCCTTCGCCTTCCTCTTTTCCTTTTGCCTTGAGGGTTCCATATAAGGGGTTGTCTCGTGACACAGTTAGGTGCTTTTCGTAGTGTGTGTCCTATCCACCAACTCCACCGCTCCTTCCTGATTTCCTCCTCCACTGGAATCTGGTTTGTTTTCTCCCAAATTACGTTGTTGCTGATGGTGTCTGGCCAACGAATACGAAGTATTTTGCGTAGACAACTGTTAATAAACACTTGTATCGTCTGGATGATGGCTTTCGTGGTTCTCCAAGTTTCCGCTCCATACATTAGAACTGTCTTGACATTTGTATTGAAAATCCTGATTTTGGTGTTGATTGATATTTGTCTGGAGTTCCAGATATTTTTCAACTGTAGAAATGCAGCCCTTGCTTTGCCAATCCACACCCTCACATCTTCATCGGATCCACCTTGGTTGTCGATGATACTGCCCAGATATGTAAAGGTGTTAATGTCCTCCAAGGCATCTCCATCAAGATTGATTTGGTTGATGCATGTTGTGTTGCATCGGAGAATTTTGCTTTTTCCTTTATGTATGTTGAGACTTGATGCTACTGAAAATAATTCAAATCAATCACTTGATAGTTAACAATATTAAAGGTAAGTTTCACTGCATTTCGATTGGAAAATTCTCTAAATCATTAGGAAATAGACTTAATTTCAATAATAAGAGAAATGAATTTTGGTTAACAATAGTAGCCAGGACTCCTGATTCGTCCTGTTTTGGGACTCGTCAGCTGAATGTACCTACATCTGAGAGTTGATATTGACTCTGAGACTGGAATTAATTCTCTGGTTAAAAATAATTTACATCCGAGACTGAAGTAAATTAATTTTTTGTTAAAATGTCAAAAGTAATAGATGTTAAAGATGCATATTTCCAAATTTTCGCTGAAATGACACTTGATTTTTAGTAGATTGTGTTTGTATACACATAATAGATAAATTGTGATTAGTTATGAACTTCAGTGGTAAGAGTTATGTTTAATTTCGAGGCTCGTCAGGTGAAAATATTTGCACTATAGAGTTGATATTCACTTTGGGACTTCGGAAAAACCCCAATTTAGATTCATATTCATCCAGCGCAAAAGTTTCAAAATACATATCTGTATTACACTACAATCATTTACAATCATTTATCTTGTGAGAAAATAGCTATAACGAAGCATCTTTCACTTTGGTCAGTTAACATTTTTTAACAAAAATATATATGAACTACTGTAAAACATCACGTCTTTTTACAGTGAAAATAAATCACCTAATTTATGCCTTATTGTCGTCAAGATAAACAATATTATCAGTTAAACATTAATGTTTTTACTTACTAGCCATTTTCTTAACAGAGTTCGTTCGAATCTGTTCAATTGTACATTTTCTCCAGCCAGTCATGAAAATCTCTATAAACATGATTTATTTTATTGGAATACTTACTTTTTCAATGAAGTTAATGTGCTTGTGTCAGTGTTTTACTCGGATTCCATGTTACACATTTTTGGCTTGAACAATAATTTTTTGATAAATCTATCTATCTATCTATCTATTCATGAGTATTTCACAATAAACCATTGGGAAATAGTTCAGTGTGTGTTATATTTCACTCGAATAAATCATTTTCTAACAAGATTTTAATATGAACAAACTTAAATGAAGAGAAGCATAAAATTATGATGAGTAATTTTTCTGACAGAAAAAAATATTAAAAAAACATGTTTAACGATGGCTGACTAATGGTTAATCATCTAGTAGTTATGAGTTACAAAATAAATTAACTAGAAAATTTAAACTAGAATCAAAGTTTATAAAACAACAAGCCAAGGTTGCCAACCACCATTCTCGAACCTAGTTTATCCTCAATCTTCCTTCCTAGTGCTATCCAACTGTTTCTCCAGAACTTGGGGATGTGTGCTCTTTGATCTCCCTCTTTTCCTTTGACCTTGAGGATTCCATGTGAGAGCTTGTCTTGAGACGCAGTTGA